ATAGGTTGATGGTTTTTCTTAACATTCTCGTTATTGCTCTAGAAAATTTTTAAAAAGTTAATTGTAAATTAATTTTACTGAATTATCAAAGTTTCACTAATTATCAGCAATTATAGTCCACACGGTAACACTTAAAATACCTCTTTCAAAACAAATGAATCAATTTTAGCACCAAATAAGGTGAATACATTAAAATTCAGTGCAAAGGAATGCAATGAAAAATGCCTTCTTTTTTATTTACAGTACCATTTAGGCACTAAAAGAGGTACCATAGTACCATAAGGTAATAATTTTCAATGTCATGCATAAATTGTAGATGAATTTGATGTAGTATCGGAGATTAATTTTTAATCGTATTTGATTTTTTTTTAATCGATTTTTAATCGTATTTTTTGATATCGAGTACGATCAAAAATCAGGTTGATTAAAAATCAAATAAATTAGTAACTATCAAAGCTTTTTAATTAACTATTTTTTAAATACTTAAAATTTTGAAAAAATTAAAAAACATACTTTCAATATCCCAATCATATATTGAGTGGGAGTGATCCCTGCTTGATTCTTAATTATCATAATTTGACCTTTCAAATTTGTTATCTCGTGCCCTTGTGATTTTTTCATATTTTCTTGTACATCTTTTATGGCTAAATTAGGTAGGATTTTAAAATGTTTAATACAATTTTACAAATTTCAAGATGTTTTTTATTATTTAATTTAGTTTTTTAGCTCAGAACAGCTTAGAGTATTTTATTCAAATTTTATGATTAACACTTTCGATTAAGAATTGATCACTGTAACAATACTTGGTTGATCGCATTGTATATCAGTTGTTTTCTCTTCAGCTTTTTTTTTCACCTCCGGTTTTCCAATTTTTATCTAAATCCAAATAAGATTAAAAATAACATTTTTATTGATTAAATCATTGCAAATACTTTAGATGACTTTTAACCTTTGATTTAATATTGCTCTGTTCGTTTTTATCACTTATTATCACTTGATTTAATTTAATTCAATGCAAATGAGACTTGATATGACATTTGGAATTGTATAAAAGCACACTCAAATTCAAATCATTAAATCAAATACAAATTTTACATTTTTTTACAATAAGTTTTGACCTACTAATCTCAGATGACATCTATTCATGTGTAACAACTGAATGCAATAAAAAAACATACTGCCATTTTAGATTTATGGTAATATTCCCAAAGAGGATATATATGAGATGTCCCGTAATATTCTCCCGATGCTTTACCATAAATAAATCCCAATTCAGCTTTATATGGAGAAAATATCCGCGCGATACAAGGATAAGGATACTGCGGATGCCGATTTTTGCATATATAATGATAAATAGGATTACAGTTTGCAAATACTGAACGTAATCCAACTGGTGAAACTATTGTAAAACATGGAATAACAACCTAAAAAATTGAAAATGTATTTGAAAAATTATTCACAGTTTATTTAAACAAATTTTAAAATTTTTGAAAAAGCTAAAATTTTTAAAAAAAAGTCAGATTTTTTCTGCCAATAAAAATGAATACATTTATTTTGTTTTTTTAAACTTACAAAATTAAAAATGAAAAGATGGTAAGGTTTTTGTATTTTATGAAAACTTTTCAAGCTAAAAAAAAATTGTAATCTTAAAAAATTTTTTACAAAATTTTTAATAATGTAAAAGCTAACTGATTTGCGTTCTGGAAGAGTGGATAATTCGCTTACGTACTGCTTTAAATGTTTGCTCTGTAATTTTCTCATAAATTGTCCTGAAAATGCCGTTTGAGGTTGAAAAAGATACCTGAAATTCAACAATCAGTTATAGTTATTTCATTTCAAATAATCACTAAAATCATTGTTAAATCAAATATCACTTTTTTGTAGACATATGTTTATTTTTACTGTTTTTACTATTTTCTATTTTCATAAACTTGACCATTTTGTAGTAATGCAAATACTGATTACGCAGCATTCATGATTACATGTGTTCATAAGCTTATCACTATAAGTACTGATAATAATTATTATCACAATAATAACAATAATAATAATAATAATAAATGATAATACTAGTAATAATAGTATATGGGAGCAAATTAGTAACAAATACAATGAAAAATCTGCACATTTTGAGATGATCCGTTTCGGAATCCAATTCGATGACACGTACGCCATCATCAGTAATGGTTGTTCGAAAAAGTCCATTACAACGAAATGCTTTAATCTATATTATTTATTGAATATGACCAAATTTCAGCATAAAATTAAAATTACAAATTAGTAACAGTAATGCTAATTTCAAGTGAAAATTAACTTACTACGCTGCGTGTTTGCACCATTTTTTCACATGTTTCATAAAAAAATGTTTCTACTTCAATTACTGAACCAGATGGCTTCCAATAAAACGTTGAATTAAATGAGCTTACTAATACTACACGTGTGCGCCATTCTGGTGCTAAATCTCGACGTATAACAAATTCTGTTATACCATCACTTGCTTCCTACGTGTATTTATTAATTAAACATGTATTACACAACAATACATTGATAATAATAATATTAATCAGTAATAACTATTATTGATAGTTTAATGATCATTATTGTCATAATTAAGTATTTGACAGTGCACAATTAAATTATTCGACATAAATTGCAAAAATGAATATCTCAAAATTTTTTCACTTTTTTTTGATAAACTAAACGCAAATAATTTAACATTAATGCTTAAATGATTGAACACTTTAAATCTTTTCTAAAAGTATTTCATTTATTTGGATAACTATACAATATTTTTTTGATAGTGCTTTTAAGTTGTATTTGATTGAACACAATGAATAAAACTAGTAAATAAATAAAGTACGAATGAATAAGTATACAATTAAGCTAACTTTAATTTTATCGTTCATTTCATCAACAGTAGTTTTTCCATCAGGATTAACTTGAAAACACATTGATTGAACAACCTTATTCTTGTTTTGGTCATCTCCGTCTGCTAATAAACTTTCTGACATTTGATCCTACCAAATCAGTCAGTGTACTCAAATATTTAATAAATATTAACAAATATTTAATTAATGATTTTCACATTGACAATATCTGTGGTTTTTTAAATTGAATTGAATCAAATTTCAGTACCAACCGTTGAACCGTAATATTTGTTAATTAAATTCATTAATTCTGTATTGAATGTAAGTAATGGATTTTCTTCAAAGTATACTCGGATCACTCCTCTGTTCAATGATTTACAATAAGTCGTACATAAATCCTCCAAATCATCGTGTAAGGTATGCCATCGACGTATACTTATTCCAAGCAGAGCTGCACGCAAATTAAACTTTTTTATATTTGAGGAAAATAATTTTAGCAAACACCTCGATCAATACGATATCCGTAAAATTACCGTATTCTAGCACCTTTTGAATACTTTATATTATAATTTTCATAATTTGTATATTTTTTCTGCAATTAAACCAGCAAGTTTTGCGAACTTTAAATTTTTTTACTATTTTTATATATTAAGAATAAATATTTATATTTTTACTGGTGCTAAAATATATTAAATTCTTCGCATTGTGTACATGTACCAGTTTAATTTATAATATCAGTTATGCATTTGCAGTACTGTTCAATTGTACTTATAAATTAATCTTACCATAAATATTAATATAAAAGTATAGGTATATTTAAATGTATTATAAAAATTTATGCTATCTAGTTCTATTAATAATTTTATGTAAATATTTGTGGTGAGATTTATGTAAAGCTTCTGTTCTTAGTAATGACCACTTCGTAATAATTGTTATATTGTTATTTTAGTCTTGTTTTGATGGAGTTTTATATTCAAGTGTGATTTTTAGATTTACTATCTTTGGCGGATATTATTCTAATCGAATCTTTTGACAGTTACTATTGTAAATATGTGACTTAGTTTGATAAAATGACAAAAATTTGCCATAATCATGTTTACAAATTTTTATAATTAATACCTTTTGTGATTAAATCATTAAGTTTCAGATTGCATTCGCCATCAGATAACAAATGCAAAACCGCAAATCCACGAAGAATTTGCAAAGGTGAAATGGCAAGATTTGATTCCTCGTAAGTAACTCTCAGGTTTTCCTAAATTCAGTACTTACTAATTTAAATTTTTGTTTTTCCTATTATTACAAAATTAATTTAAAATGTGTGCTTGGTTGCTTAACAATCGAATTATATTACTCGAAAGAATACTGTATTGAAGGATAAGTGTTGTTGGCATTGTATCGAAGCAAAAATACTAGTGAAACTTTAAAAAAGAGGAAGTACTAGTGATACTGTAATCGGGAAGATACTGTTTTTCTTTACTAATTAAATTAAACTATATGATAATAATTGGTTCAAATGACATTGCATTTTAATTTCCTTCCAATGCTTCAATCTTACTCGATAGAACCGATAATTTCTTCTCATTACAAACTTTTTTATCCGTCTAATTTTAATATAATTGATGAAGACTAAAATGTTTGCAGACCAATTCTTTTGTTGGTAAGTAAGCTAAATTAAGACGTTTAGACGGGATATCATTGAGCAGTTTAATACCGAAATCCAACAGTGGCAAATATTCCCAATCACCTATAAAGCCAAAAAAGATCTGTACAGATCAATGGATCAGTAGTAAGTTTTGTTTGGCAATTTTAATGACTTTCATTCACTTTTTGAGAGGCAAAATTTTAAAGAAGCGATCTGCGCTCGTTAATGGTATTTTTATATAATTTGACTTGCATAATTTTCAAAAACCAACTGATTACTTTCGGCATTTATTCTTTATTTAATTGATAACTACAAAAATTGCAAAGTATAACCCCAAACAGAAGAATTTCTGGGATTGGAAAGCATTTAAGATTAATGTTTTGTTCGGTCGAAACAACCAATACTGATCTTTGCAATATCGAACACTGAATATACTTGGAACAATTCCGTCAATTATATCTTACGTAAAAATGACACGTAATTTTGTATTTTTCCGATGTAAATTTTTTGCTGCTCTTCGATCTACTACTAAATTTTTTGACTGCCATCACTATTGATTATTGCTGAACAAATGATATTTTTCAATCATCACTTTGCTTTATTATGCCAGTAATAATTTTAAATTAATTTTGATTCAGACTGATCTGACCCATACATTTATCAGTTCAGTGTCTTCGAGTATCTTAGTTGAAATTTAAGTATATCGAGCAACTTCCAGCATTTTGTGGTTCAAAGTTTGAAAGTATCTATTCTTGATTATAATACTGACATCATTATAAATTAATAGGATGAAAATGAAGCTCAAATTGTTATAGTTGAGATTATTATAAAATTGATCAGATCAGGACTGTTTTGATAAAATATTATTATTGATCTGGTAAAATTTTGGATATCACACTTTGGTGCTTCGTAACGTATAACGTCTCTGAGCATCAAATTCAAGTTTTCTGTAGGTGTGGGAAGAGTGGACGGAAAATCTGAAAAATTTTACAAAAGTCAAGTGTTAACATTGTATTTGTGGGATATATTTAATACTACTTACATTAATAATACTTAGTTATGGCTAGCAATTTATGCTTGCGAAGAGTTAAATATTGCGATAATATATTATGTATATATTGCAAGCAAATGTCGTAAATATAACTTAGTTTTGAGTTTATGCTGGATTAGCTTAACTTTTGAAGACTTACTCTAATTGCCACTTCTAATCTGACTTTTTTATAGATTTTTGGTAATAAATAAAAATAAAACAATTATTTTATCAAACTTTAAATGAGCATTGCATATGATTGTTGACTATCATTACAGCTGCAGCATTATCAAATAGCCCACAGTAGTGAGGCGCTGAAAAGATTGTTACCAATTTTCGATTTGCGAAAAACTCGTAACCATCTTGAACAACCTTAATAATTTATTGATTTCACTTACTTTGATAAATTTTTTTATTCCAAAAATTACTTACTTGTATTGATTGATGTAAGGATATCTTTTGCAAAAACAATTTGTTCATAATTTTGGTCTTAATCTTAAACTAATCTTTTTTGAGAATTTAATTATAATTATACAAACAAATTGCTATAGCATAGTTTAGAACCTGATGTGCCCGGCAAATCAGATCAAGATCAAACTTTTTGCAAACTTCATTGACTACTTTAGCGCCAAAGGTAAGTGATACACCACGATCGTTGTATTCAAATCCATCAATCATTGAATTGGGATCAGCCCACAGTAGATCAAGTGGAAGGGACGGATTTGGTGGATCCTACAATACAAGTAGTCATCAATCTTTGCTACACTTGCCATTCCATTGATTAATCTTGCAATCTCGAAAAATTGATTTCCTGATTTACGATTGATTTACTAACGAATTGATCTATTGACTGACTAATCAATTATTAATTCAAACAAAACTGCCATATTTGAAATGGAGTAGATACAAAAAGCATAACAGTACAAAACATTTTCCACATTATTTGCAATCAGTTTACGAATGAAATCAAAAACTTCCAGCATAATAATTAAAAAATTTAAATAGAAAAATAATTTATTGTGTTTTTTGATAAAAATTATTTTGACTTACTTAAAAATGAAGAGATAATTTCGAAGAAAACAAAATTTTTGGTAAAATTCAAAGATAGATATTTATTCAAAAAATATTGCTAAAATTACAGGCAGCGGTCGATATATGCTCTGAAGAATGTTTAAACTGTTGGATTTCACTAACTGAGGTGAAAGGCCACCGTGCATACAAAGTATTCGACCGCCCACTACTGCACTCAAAGGCATAATATTGAAAACGCTCTAAATATTATTCAAAATTATTTTTTGAAAGTAAAATTTGCATTTTAGTTATATAACTAATTCATTTTAAAATTTGTTTAGAGAAAGTTATTAATTAAAATTATGAACTTTTATTGACAAATAGAAGCCTCGTGTATTGCGCATACAATATGCTCAACGCCATTTTTACCTATCATATTTATATTGTTTTTTTTTAAATCAATTTTAAACTAATATAATATCACTTTTACGGTATATAAGGTAAGTAAGAAATTACTTGGAATAACATATACAGTGGTATGGATAAATATCGTCGTACAATCTCGTCATAAAATCCATAAATTCGATTTACTAATTGCGTCTCGTGATTCCCACGCAGTAAAAAAAAGTTTTCTGGATATCGTAGCTAAAAAGTAGTGCATTTTCATGCCTCATTTTTTAATAAAAATCCTAAGAAAGCTATAAAGATCTTGGAAAATACGTGTGAAAATTAATTATCAATCAAATATGATTCAGACAAAACCGATTTAGAAGAATAAAAATATGAATTTAACAAATATTTCAAAGGTTGAATTAATAAAAATTCTTTTGGTCATTGTTAAAAATTTCTTTTTCTATTAATACTGGCTGACCTTTGCATATTTATATGGAATGAAAAAGTAATTCAAATAATTTTGCATTACTCTCAAAAATATGTGGAATTGATGATTTGATTAGACTTACTTTGCAAGCAAACAAGAAAACGATCACTTCCAGGCTCATTTTTCCACGATCCACGTAATCACCAAGAAAAAGGTAATTAACTTTATTCGGAAAACCACACTAAAAATTTTTAATTAATAATAAATGATCTTGGAAATTAATAACAATAAAATTCTTTGCAAAAATAACAATTATAATAATTGCATTCTACTTAGTCAATTAAAATTTTCTGGTGAATTATTAATTGAAATTATAACTAATTTTTACTATTTTAAGAAATTTAAATTATTTTTGATCAGTTTTGAATTGAACGCACAGTTATGTGTAATGAAGGAAATTTTCGAAAAATATTTTGGATTTTAAGACAATACTTGAACAAAAAACATGAAATTCTGCATTTTCCTTTTTTTCATATAAAAAATTATTATTAAATTTTTTTTAAATTAAATTTAGAATACTTTTTTTCATATATTTTCATATTTTTTTAACTTTCCTTTTATTCATTAAAAAAAGTATTCTAAATTTAAGTATTCTCATGATACTTTTTGAAATAATTAAATCTTTGAGCACTAAAATTTAAAAGTAAAATGAGAATCGCTCTTCTATACAGTTTTTATCCGTTTGTATTCACAATTCAAAACTATCATTTCAAAGTAATAAATCTCTGTAACCAGTAAAGAACAAAAAATACTATGATGTTTCCAAATAAGATTAAAAATTAAAGTCCCAAAGAAAGCTGGTTTTCATTGCTACGGTTTTAAATGTTTTGTGTGATAATAAAATATTTAGTTTCATTCATACTAATTTAATTTTTAGGAATTCAGTTAATAATGTTTTTTCTGAAACTCGAAATTAAATTTAAAAGAAAATCATATCACTTGTTTTAATTTAATTATAATTGTCTCATAGAAAAAACAACTTTATTAAAAATGCGCATCATATCAGTAAACTGTCCATGAATATCTCCGCATATTATTACTGGCGGATCTAATTGCAGCATCATAGGTTGCTGCATAAATATATCTTTGACATTAAGCAGCAAATCAGTGATATCCTAGAAATAAGTATATATTTTGATTAAGTGATAAGATCACCGTTATATTATAGAATACGATCTCGCGCAGTTACTTAATACTGTTTGCAATGCAAGTTTGAAGTTTTGCTTTTCAACATAGAAGCAATCAAATTTATTTAAAATTTGTAAACTTTTCAAATTTTTTGATTAAAATTTTGACAAATTTAAATAGTAACAAGGACTTGTTCTGTTATTTTTGTACTCATTCCAGTTTGAGGCCTTCCAATTGTCATCATTTGCTCAAAGATGTAATCCAAATCAATGGGTGGAGGAATTGTCACACTTGTTGATGATAAACTTTGTGAAACTGAACAAAGCTTCGTCTAACTTTTACTTTCATTTATTTTTACTTTTATTTACTTTTTCATTTTATCTTTAATACTTTATATCTGTAAGTAAACTCTACATGAATTCTACCTTTTCATTCTTTAGTTAAATAATATAATAATTAAAGATTTGCATTTGAAAGATTCTTTTTGACTGAACTAAACTTAGCTACTCTCAATGATTTCAGATAAGAAACATATTAAATTTATTACAAATTTAGCAAATTTGAAACAAGCGAAATTCTATGAAATTTATTATATTTAATATTAATTTTAATTTTTCAATTTCTTGAATGATATTTTTTATAAAGAGCGAGATTTTATGCATGAGAATTAAACAGTCTAAAAATGGCAATTCATAGCCTAATTTAAAAATTTGTTAAATTGCAAACTTTTTCGTATTATTTATAGTAATTATTATTTTTTAGGATGCTTTGACAGCTTTTTAATTTCATAAAGCAAACTGTTCTAAACTAATTAATAATTTATTAAAATGCTAAATGGAAAATAATTAAACTAAAGCTTGAGCGATTTTTTATCTATACATTTTATATTAGTCAAAAATTAAAAAACACGAAAAGAAATTGAAGCAATTAAAGTGCTTGTAATTATTTTTCAAATCCAAAATCTATTGAAAATATTTAAATTTAAAAGTAAAATAAAGTTTCCACTTGACGAGCACGTGCTAGACGTCATTTGTACGACAAAAGTTCAGCAAATAATAATACAAATTAGTGAGAATTACTTTTATAATTTTGTAATATGAAAAAAATTTGCATTTTGACAGAATTCAAATAATTTTTTTACAGTAATCATCGAAGTAAAGTCTTTTAAATTATATCATTTCTTGCACTTTGATAAAAGTTTTACTTTTATTTTTTTCAAACAAAAGCCAAAATAACAAATTAGTCATACAAGTTCTTATTCTTATTATTATCTTACCTATAATAATTATTGATTAAATTAACTGTTAACTTACTTTTTCTTCTTTGTAACAAAATGATAATAAAGGATTAATTCTCGCAGCAATAATTGACCATTGGTGAATATTCTCGACTTCTTAGCAAATAATTTCCTTCCTGTATATTCACTACACTACTTACTCTATTGTTCATTTTATTGACAGCTCTAAGAAAGTAATTTTTCTCGTTTCTAATGTCATACAAAAATGATACAATTATGAGAATTAGTATTTTCACTGTAATTTTTTTTAGTAATATTATTAACTTTCGATACTGTATTTCATTTTTCAGTTCTCAATACAAATTTATCCAGCAAATGCTGCCAGCAATTTTACTTATTTTTGTCATTTTCTTCAGTGATATGACGACCATTTTAGGTTAGAATTTTGATGAATATTAGATTTTTACTAATTATTATTCAGTGCCTGATAAGGTAATGATAAGATGATGATAATTTACAGTAAGTAATAACTTTGTGCTTATTTGATTGATCACTCAAAATTGCAAATATTTGCGAAGAAACTTAAATATGCTATTAAGTATTTCCACACAAATATTGAGCTGATTAAAAACTTAGTATATAAATACAGATTAAGCTTAATCTAAGATTTAGCATCGATTCTATATCTATAAAATTTAAAAGCGTAAAGACTAGATAGAATTACGTCACTCTCTTGAAATCTATATTGAAAATTTGAAAAAATTGCAACTTTTTTGCATCTGTATAATTTTTATTGTTTTAACTAATTGATAACTTGAAAAATAAGTCACACATTTGACTTACGTGAAATACTTGATTTGTTTGATATGTATTTAGTGCTTAGTTCAGGTAAGGAAGAATTACTTTTAAATTATACTGAAGCAAATTTCAACAATCAACGCAAAAAAAATTTACTAAGTCAACATATGGCACATTTACGTACAGCCATGCAAGCGCATTTGCCAGCATCAAATTCAATGCCATCAGAACTAACACGCTGTTTACGTGAGTTTTTTCCACTGTTAAAAGAAGTTAAAAAATATTATTTACATAATTATACAACTTATAAACTAATTATTTTTGATAAATATGCAAACATTAGGATGTATGAAGCCAATATTATTAGCAGTTCGAGCTGCATTAGTTTCTGGAAACCATTTCGAGCGATTTATTAATATCTGCGAGTAAGTTTAATTATATTCTACTATTATACACTTTTTTATAAACCTTTAACTATTATTTTAAGTAGAATTCTATGTCTTGGATTCTGTTTCACTTCACTTTCTGCTCTCCTTGATGCTATCAAATCACCATTATTAGTATTTACTTCACTTTTTTCATTTGATGTTAGAAAACTTTACAAAAACAAAAAAAGCAAAAGTGATCGTTTTGTAGAAGAATACGTGGAGCGCTAAAATGTATCAGACATATTCCTGGAAAATGTTCACAAGAAAGTGGGACAAGATTTTTAATTGCAAATTTTCAATATTTTTGCGAAGATAACTATCCAGGTTTTTGACTTAATTATCTGTCATTATTTTGATCACAAAAAATTTTAGCCCACGCAAATTGAACGAACACGTTTGATTGTGAAAAATTTTTATTTAATTATAATTTTTTAAAAGTAATTCTTACATAAATGCTTGCTAAACTTAAATTATTTCACACTTATTTGTAATGAGCAGTGCAATATAATGGCTTTAATTTTTCTTAATAATTATTAGTTAATTAATGTAAATTACGGTAAAATATGCATAAAGCTTACAACACTTTGAGTGTTATTGCAACGCACGTGTGTTTTATCAAATTACTTAAGAATATTTTTATCAATCTTCCATATTTTATACATAGAAATTGCAATTTTTAATAGTAAAATTCTTTACAACTCTTCAGTAATTGCAGTAATTACAGTTTACAAACACATGTCGGAATGTTTGGATATTTATTCTAGCGTTGTTCAACGTGGTACGTTTTTACTTTTATTCAATTCAACCAAAATTTTCTGATCAGTCTATTCTATATTTAGTACATATTATTACTTGATAATTTTCAGTCTAATTAGTATTTATTAATTAATAGTTAGATTTTCAATCTAAATGGCAAATGACTGTTATCAAAGCTTTTTATCTTAACATTGTTTTCCATACTTTTAAATCTCTACAGAATGTCAATGGAGATGTCAAGAGACACGTCAAGTACTAAGTTGGTTCTTATATGGTTACATGCGATCTACTGTACTTGCTACGATATCTGAAGAAACTGTACCTTCTAAATTAAATGCTGATTACTTTAGAAGAATAAGCGGTGATACCTGCCGGTATGTAAAATAAATCCAGATTGTATACTTCATAAACAGATCTGTAAGAAATATTTGAAGGAATAACTGAAACCTACAAAAAACGGAACAATAAGAATAATTAACGATAAATTTTACTGTTATATAATATTGTAAGTATTTTTAAACGTAACTATGATAATAATTACTTTTAATGATAAGTAATACGTATATTGTTTGTAGCATGGTAATGTGCTACATGACATGCTTGCGAGAGAAGTACAACGTGAAATGCAATGGGATTGGTGGCAGTATGTTTGTAGTTAGAGCTTAATATGCTTATTAAAAAAATTAGCATAATAACTATATTTTCAATCGATTGGTCATTTTTGAATAAATAATTGTAATTAGTATGGTTAGTTTAACACTGCTATTGCAATTGCATATAAATACAGATTAAGATTAAAGATCGACATAGAGCTAGCTATAAGTGTAATAATTATTATTATAATAAAATATAATTTCAGGAAGCGATTTTCAGGCCATTGATAGCGTTGCACAGATCTTGGCCTTATAGCCCAATAGCTAATTCAATGGGTCTCATAATGCCACCAGAATGCAACTTTCTTACACGTTTGGAAAGTTTAAATGAATTCAGGTTAGTGAAAAGTAAGTAGACTATTTAAATATGCATATTAGCTGATTTAATAATCCGCAGAAGTTTTTTTGCTAAAGGATGAATACAAAAAAAGAAGCGCAAAACAACAATCGGATTTGGAAAGGTCTCAAGCAAGACTTTTCACACCTTCTACAGGTGAACTTTTTGACGTATTACTTTAACTTACTTTTTAACTCGAAAAAAAATTACTATTCAAATTATATATTTTTGATTCTTCATGCCAGACTGATGAATTAGCAACAGATGCACCGATACAACTGCTGAAAAGTGTAATTTCGCCTTTGGATGATGATGATTTCGCCAGTTATCTCACTCGTACTCCGCCAAGTAATTACTATTATTACCATGTCGATAACTGTTAATTTTTTGAACTTTTGAAACTTAGCCACGGTTTTTGATTGTAAGAAATAATAATTGCTGAATAATATTTATTACTTAGGCAATCGTTCTAATAACGAAGCAACTTACTGTACATTACGCTCAGTTCATTAACTTTAATATACTTCTATGTAAGAATCCACGCTATTTTTTACTACTTTAAAATGTAGCATAAACTGATAGCTACAGAAAATTTAAATTGTGCAGATTAAAAATTGCGTGAATCATTATGCACATAAAAAATAAGAAACATTTAGTTTTTAATCTGATTTTCTGTAAAGTTGAAGTAGAAATTACTGTATAAAATGTTTTTTTATCAGCAACAGAAAATGATGAATCCAAAATACACACTGAGGAGACTGAAGAAGCAATAGAGAATTTCAAGAGTCTCGACAGATTGCAGCGAATGAAACCTTGATTAGATTAAGCATTTGCTCTATCATTTTTGTAATTTGCATATTTGAAATGCTAATTTCGCTTCATTATTTTATTACTTGCACAAATTTCCAGTTTTCAGAGTATGTTATTCAAAAATTAGACAGTATTCGATCAGATATTTACCAAAGTAACGCTCGTCACTTCATTAGTTGTGTGAAAGTTACAACTGTGTCGTAACTTTGTAAGATTAAATTATAAAAAATAAAAACAGTCATTTTACTGTTTGATTTTTGTCACTGATCAAATTGTGATTTATCAATATTTATTTAATCTCATTTTGACTTGAAGGCCGATTGGAAAGTTGCTTGTTTTGAATCAAAAGTCAATGTAATAGTTATCAACAATATCTAATAATTCACTGATAAATCGAACAATCAAACTGACAAGTATTTAATCAATATGTTAATTAATAGATAGAAGTTTGTAAATGTCTAGAATTTTTACAGAATTAAAAATTGATTCCTACTTAGTTTACTTTTTCAATCAGTTTATCACCATCAATCAATATTAGTATTTATCAGTGCTGATTTTGATAAAAATTTATATCAAAATTTTTCTTTGGCTCATAAGAAGATAAAAATTGTTGCATGCTTGTACTAAGGAGACTGAGTTGATTCTTCCGGATCAAATGGTTCTGAACGAATTTCATATTTTATGTCGACAAGCCACGAAGACTTGATGATATCTGGATATGATCGACGTAGTAGTGGATCAGGATGGACCATTGCATAGATAAGCTCTTTCACTTCCGTACTTAATGATCGACGACGTGGAAAGGCTATTCTAAAATAAATTTGCTTCAAGTGATCATTAAGTCACTCTACAATAAACTTTGTAAAATTACGTAAACTTCAAACTTTACAAATTAACTTACGCTTACAAAGACAATTGTTCTTACAAGAAGCATCTATATCTATAATCCATTTTTAATTTTTAATTTGGCGTGGTGAGAAAACGTAAAAACACGTATAACACCCATTTTTATTTTTTTAAATACCAAGTATCTTTATATTAAGTTTTATCTTTAATATTTAATATCGTATTTTTTATTTTAAAATCATTCATTCCTCGAGAGATTTCACATGACCGCTGTGCATAAAATCATATAATGCATTAGAATTTGAAAGCATATATAAGTAATGCAGCGTGGAATACTCAAAAGTTCTCAACTATGCACGTAAATGGTGATCAGCAAGAATTTTCAAAAAAAAATCAAATTCAAAAAAAAGTCAATTTTTAAATTTTTTTGAAAATTTACGAAATTTTTTAAAAAAATCTCAAACTAATATTGCTGACTTCTCAGCCTATTTTTTTTAAGGTTATTAATAAAACTTTGATAATTTGAAGTTAAATACCGATGCTGAAGTTGCTTTTCTAACATTTTAGTCATATTTCGATCATCATAAGGCATATAACCCGTCACCATAACATACAACACAACACCAGCACTCCAAATATCAGCAAGAAAACCATTATATGGACGTGACCTGAAACACATAAGTGTAGAAGGTCACTTGTGTACAAAACGTGAAAAATTATCAGATATCTTGACGACAACAAATTTTGTTTGTAGAATTTGATATTTTGTTAAAAAGTCCGACTGAAAGAGGAAGAATGATTAGTTAAAATTAAATGTAAAAAAGAACAAAAATCAGAACTGATATTAATTAAAACAATACTAATTTGACTAATATGTTTTATCTCGATTAAATTAGTATGTAAAAGAAAGAAGATCGTTTGCATATCTTAAGTTGACCTCAACAATTCGGGGGCGACATAAGCGCGAGATCCGCAAAATGTATGCGATAATTCATCAGATTTCATATATCGCGCAAATCCAAAATCGCCAAGTTTCACGTTATCACAACTATCCAAGAATATATTTTCGCATTTAATATCACGATGTGCAATACATAATGATTTCAAATACTAAAAATATATTTAAGAAAGTAAGTTTTTTAAAATTAGACTCAATTAATTATTTGAAAAGGATATAAAAACATATTAAATTTTGTGAAGATATGAAAAATAAGTGAAAAAAATGCGTAAAATTATTCTAAAGAATTGTTCCCTTGATTGAATTTAAGCTGGTAATTTACGTACGTTAATTAAATGTAAGTGAAAGAAGTTCAAAGCATATAAAAATAAAAAATAAAAAATAAAAAAAAAGATTATTAACAAAATTAATAATCTCTTTTTAAAAATTTATTGACAAGTCTCATTGAATATATAGTTAAGTCAAATTTGTGCAGAATTTTTATGTCATTTTAAAAGGTATTGAAACTATTTTAAAATTTTCACTTAAATTACAATAATTAAATTTACAATTGAATATAAAAATGGTGGATTAATACTAGCATAAAAATAAATATTAAATTATGAGCAAAAAATATTAAAGAATTGTTTGTTTAAAAAGATGGTTTTGTATTTCTACAAATACTTGTCTTACTATGAGTGCTTCAATAAGTTGTCGAAAATAAAACTGTCCTTCACTTTCTTCGATTCGATCATTTTTTTTTATTTTTTGCAGTAAATCCCCGTGCGAGGCATATTCTTGAACGAAACAGACATACGGAAGCTTGTCGATTACCTAAGTTTTGTTCGCGTGCAAAAGTTTTTGAAAGATTTATTTTTCACTAAGAATTATTCAAGTGTGCGATTTTGGTATTTTTGTATTTTTCAAAAATCCCAAAATCGTACAATTTGAATGAAAATAGATAATTTGTTGTCTGTAATAAAATTAATAAAGGATATTTACTGAAATTTTAAAAAAATACAATTTTTCAATTTTTTTTAATAATTTTTGAGTAGTATTTTGTTTATTACACCAATACTGTAATCAATGAAAAACAAACAATACAGCAATTTTTTAATTTTTGCCAGCTTAATTTTCAACTTTAACCTTTATTGAATAGTTCAAAGTTTTAAACCAGACTTTACTAATTCAAGCACTGTAAATTACACTTGTTTACTAATATGTTTCAATATAATTTTACAACATTGTTTGCAAGATACTTTTTTGAGAGAAAAAATAATAATTCAAAAAATAAACTTCAAAATTTTTAATAATGTTTGCATGATTGAGTTGCTGTACAATGTTACGTTCTCGTGGAAGAAAACGTACGATAAAATCTGAGCCGGGCCTTAAAGAAGTAAGTAATTTTATCACATATTTTGAACAAATAATATTAAAAAAAGTAAAAATACGATACAGTTTAAAAAAAGGTAAAAATAAGAAACAGTTCTGACCTATGACCTCTTTGTTATGTAATCCTTTTTCTTCCAAATATTTCAAATATACAAATTATCTTATGAAGGTAGTCAGAAAAATTTGCATAAATGCACTTTACCTACCTTGTGTCAATAATTTTAAGAGCAACTTCCATGTGCATTTTATCATACCTTGCTGATATTACTGATGAAAATGTTCCTTTTCCTGAAATGAAAACTCTTTATTCCAAATTTTAATTAAATACTTGAAATATTTCAAAAATAAACTAATGTAATTATTGGCACTTCAAAAAAATTTTTTCAATATGCACATTTTATATCACAATAAAATTGACTTACTGAAATAGTGAAGAAAAAGCATAAATTGGGTAGTAATTTGTTTTGATAAAACTGATAAGATAATTATTGTTCTAAGTTAAATTTATGGATTACAAAAGTAAAAATAAGAAACAGTTCTGACCTATGACCTCTTTGTTGTGAATTCCTTTTTCTTCCAAATACTTCAGAATACCTGCATGAGGTGAGCTGCTCTCAGAATTTTCAGAATCTGATTCATTTCCCATGTTTTCCATGCATCTTTTTTTAATGCAGCTTCAATGATATAGCTATTAATTTATCATTTATTTAAATTTAATACTTTGCGAAATTTTTGGGATTTCAAACAAAGTCTAATATAAAAGCTGAAAATAAAGAATTATGAACAATTATATTGTAATTAAATATTATTAAATTTTTTAGTCTACAATTTGTTTGCTTTAAAATTTTTAAATTTGTAATTAATTTGAACTAAAAAAATTAATTATTCACTGTTAAAAAATAATTTAAATTAATACTTCTGATACAGCCTTACAATTTTCATTCTAGCACTCAGTAATAACATCAAATTACAACCGACCTCCTTTATAAGCATAAAATTAGTAAAACTATCAACTTTTATCCCTACTTTTCATTTTTATTTCAAATTCGTTATAGACAAAATTTGAATAATCAGAGTATAAACAAAATGAAATAAAAAATATTAAGACGTACGTGAACATTCTATACAGCTTTTCGATGACGACATTGCAAACGTCGTGACATTGAAACCAACCGCTTCTTCCGCTGCTAAAATGAAAAGATGCAACAGCTTTTAATGCAAATTCTTGCGATTTTACTTTGTTATTTATGAAAAATTGTGTAATATTTTTAGATTTGAATTATAGTAAGGCGCAAATAGCAAAATTATCAATAACTGTTTAGTTATAGTTAAATTATTTTGTATAAAGGTTAAGGGTCAATGTTTAAATTATTTTGTATAATGTTCCTTCATAAAATATTCACCACTGGTAATTCTATTTTTACAGAAATCAATCTGGCATCGATCAGAGAATGTACTGATTACTGAAATCCGAATACTCCGGATATATGGTTGATTTATTTTCTTTTCTTCTTGATTTTATACTAATAAATCTTTCAACAAGAAGTCTATGAGATGGTACATAAGTTGGATTTAAATGGTTACCATTAGCAACATATGAATTTGTCAAAATTGACCCTTAACCCAATGACGCAAAGCTTTCAACCCGTGTTTAGCTATGGGATATCACATCATATTGTTCCAAATTGTGCTCGATTTGGTAGTACAGATAATACAGAGCAATCTCAACTTGTCGTTGCAACTACAACGAATAAGGTTTTTCACTCTGGCATATAACAGCAGTAAATATTTGAAATATAAATATTTTAATTTTATAATTTTTTCATTGGTACAATTTTTTACTTTGTTCTGGCAATTTATTGTCATGTACCAATAGCATCGTGACTTTTGAACTCAATATTATATGAGTAGATTCTGTGAAGCGTTGTGTGAGATAACTTTTATATGTCATATATATGAATACTAATAGTAATTGCTAATATATTTTTAGGAGAATATGAATAAAAACAAAAAACATTTTTTGAAATTTTTTCGAAAAGTTTTGAGAAGCAAAAATTGCATCAAACAGTTGTCTTATAAACGTTTGCACAGTTTTATTTTGTATTTTCTAATAACTTTTGATAATTTTTGTAAATATAAATTTTGAATTGTATAAAAAATAAAACTTTGCAAAGCAAATAAATTTCAGGCAAAGATAATAAATTCATAAAATTTTCGTTTTAGTTATTCAATAATTAATTATTTACTTTGATCTATTTTTTTGCCAAATTGCAACAAAAAATGAATTGAAAAGAATAAGTGCTGAAAACGCTTTATAAGTTGAACTTTTGACCTTTGCTCCAAATAACCTTTTATATAATTTCAGATTATAATTCATGACAGTGAAATAATTCTTAATATAAACGAGAAAATTCAAGCCTTGGAAGTAACGAAATTATTTGGTACATATGATGTCATTATTGTTGGTACAGTATCAAGCATCTTAGTATACGATGCTTACAAAAATATCAGCGTGTTTAAGCGTGACGTTGCGGATGGCGTAAACTGTATTCAAGTTCGCATTACTTTTTTACTTTAACTTTCTATCAAAAGAAAGCAAAATGATTTTTGTTCAAAACAGGATAAGCATAAATGAAGTTTATTATGTCTTAGCTGACCTTAGAAGTCATTTTCACAGTTAAGGTCTAACTTCAGTTATTTTAGAAATAATCAAAGATCAGTTTATTTCAATCTTTGGATAGCTTTTTTTACTTAAATTTTTATCGGTTCATTATATCAAAATTAAGTTTAATTTTACTTATGTTTGGAGTAAGTTTTTTCTGTATTCAGTGGATTTATCATTAAATACATTGCAAACTCTACTATTAATCTTAATAATTTGCAAATCTAACTTTAATATACTTATTATATAAATTGATTGAAGATAACAGTGCTTTTGATTTTTAGGTTGGAAATTTTAGTACTTACGAAAAACTTATTTTTTGTGGTGGTAACTGCGCGATTTGGGGCTTCGATATTGAGGGAAAAGATGTCTTCTGGACTGTCACAGGAGATAACGTCTTATCACTTTGCTTATCAGACATCGATAATGACGGAATCAGTGAGGTATTTTATTGATCAAAATTCGTTCTCTTTTATCATTTGATATATTATTCAAAAATAACAGAGAATATTTGCATAAAAATAACAACATAATTTCTCATTGCTTGTGTGGCTTAACTTTCTAATTAAACAATTAACGCAAAAATACAATATTACATTTAATGTATTTTGGTCTAATTTGTAAATGTTGCAGTTAATTGTTGGTTCAGAAAGTTTTGACATACGTGTTTTCAAAGGAGACTTATTACTTTATGAAATGACGGAAACAGATGCTGTCATTAACTTACATGATTTTGGTAATGGCATGTTTGCGTACGCTTTATTGAATGGTACGTTAGGAATGTACAAAGGTAATACACGTTTGTGGCGGATCAAAAGTCAAAATGAAGTTGCAGCACTTGCACAGTTTCCAGACGCCCAAACAGTAGTCTGTGCTTGGATTAATGGCAAGGTAGATAAATTTGTCCCACGTAGTGCTTTGACGTGAATGTAATTTTTTATCAAAAAATTATCAGTAAATGAGAGACTTTTAATCATATTATTATTTTTCTCTTCCTCCTTCTCCTTATCATTATTATTATTATTATTATTATTTAAGTTATTAAACTGATTGATAGCCATATGAACTGTCAATTCAGATAGAAATGAGGGATTCGGAAACAGGCGAAGTGAAAGTGACGGAGTCAATTGGTGATGATATTGCCGCACTATTTGTGAATTCTGAAAATCTCGTCGTCATTTCAAAAGATGGAAATGGTATTTTGTATGAGTTTTGAGATTATTTTCGTTGCTTTAAATTTATCACCTTTGACCCTTTCAGTTCACGGTTTCGCAGGCCAAGTAGAAGAGAAAATTATTGAGAGCCAACAAAATTTGCTGCATGAGCTGAATATGAAAAAGTACAAAATATTGGTAAGTACAATTTTTGTTCAGTAAGTTTTGATAGAAATTTTAGCTTAATATTTAAATAAATCTATCAGAGGCAAATTTGAATCAGTGATTCAATTTCAAGTCAACGTGAAGTGGAATATAAGTCAATTTAAAGTAATTTAAGCAAAATGCAAATAGATTGTGATTTATTTTAAATTTCTGACTTATAAATCAACCGCAAACTAGCAGTTAAATAAATTTAATTAAAACCCTTTTCATTTTTAACGCCATTTGATTTTAGGCAGAATTAAAAAACTATGAACGAGATGAAATGGAAGTGGAAAAAACTACTGAAAAAGAAACAAAATTTTTGGTGAGTTCGAGTAATTTGTTAATTTGGTAATAGACGTCTCTTGATCTCACAAAATAATCCACGTATAGTTTCAAAATTTCACTTCAACGTAAAACCACAAGTATGCCTCACGTAAGATTTAAATATTTCATTACAAAATATTATTTTCATTGACGTATTTTTTATATACCAAAAAAGACTTCCTTTCAAATATTTTTCTTCACATATGTCAGACGCTTCATATAACGCACAAATGTGTAAATTTGTTGAAATGTGACTAGATACTCACAGTGTATTGAAGGATTTTTAATTAATTGTGCCAATTCTTATCGATTTCCTGGATAAATATTGATTTAAAAATAACAAATACAAGAAAAAATTTTGCCCAAAATCATAGTTACTTTTTTAGACAGATGAATTTTACATTGTTTATTTTTATAAGTTATCCTGGAAACCATATTTCGAGAAGAATATTTTATAGTTAGATTTTTTGATTATTATGCTAATTATTTATTTTCAGATCGATACAAAGTTGGAAAGCTGCTTACAAGTGGATAGTCAAGCAAAACCACCATGTATTGAACTGCAGTTGAGTGCATCTGGTGACGCTCTCATCCGAGCAGTTATTCTTTTCGCCGAAGGCATCTTTAACGGCGAATCTTACGTTATGTCAGTTTAATTTTTGATCATCAGCAAATTAGCATAATTTATGAAAAAATTATTGCATAAAATTATCAGATTCTAAGATATATCAAAGTGATTTCTATCAGATTATTTGAACCTATAAATTATTAGCTCACATTTTCAGTCTATTTAAATTTAGACACCCAGATGAAGATTTAACTTCTAATATGGCAATTCAACTTCGACCTGAAAAAGATTTAGCTGTTGATTTGCACATTGAAGCATTTCTAGGAGATGCTCATAGGTATAGAATTTTACTTTTGCTTTATCAAGTAAACACTAAAGGTATTTTTAATAAATAATAA